AAATTTCAGAGTTCCAATGAATCTCAAGTTCGGACCACACCTCAACCTTTGTTAAGTTTTGGCACAATCACAGATATGATGAAATTTGCGCAAAATAAAAGTGAGTTTTATGTTTGCATTGACAAAAAATTGCAAAAGCATTCGTTTGATTCGTTCGAAAGTGTGCACTAAAATTGAACACTCTTGCTCGATTCGTGTTTTTGTCTTTACTTACAAATTTGACTATGTGTTGAAATAATCACACATCTATCGAAAACTGACTGATGGGCAGTCACTACCATCTTATTTTGCAATCATAATAATTTTGCATGATCAGATCTCAGACGAATGTGATAATCTAACAAAAACTAGTAATCCTACTCCATCATCACGTCAGCAGGGCGAGATCTTAGGAATGACATTCCAGTAAGCAGTGGTAATTTGAGTGAGATGCGACGATCGATTACAGCTGCGACGATAGATTACAGCTCATATTGGGGAAGCATCTTTTTGCTAAATAGATACTCCAACTTCGGTATGAATGATAGCCTAAGCCGAATCCTAAACATAATCCATTGCCGCACTGTGTCGCCAGTTTATTTCAACATCTCCTTAATCCTGCATGATGTCAGAAATCAATGTGTTCGGTGACATTCTGAGAACATTTGTGCTTTGCAGTAGAAAGATTTGTCTGATGGTGCAGAAAGTTAATGAAGTGATCTTCACATGGAAGCACATTTTTCAAAAATGCATAAAATTCGATCTAAAATTTCACAATATTGATGAAATGAGTAGATTTGAAGGGTTAAAGCTGCGTGATAAACAAAAGGTGAACTTTGTGGATGGATTCAAACTGAGGATTCTTCACGATCACTATAAAATATTACAGTGAATTTGGGTCTATGTGCATGATCTGTCTGGAAAATGATAACCGTGTCTGAATATAGGAAAGAGTTAGCCTCGTTTTTTGGTACGAACTCTGATACACATCAACTTGTTAAGATCGCAAAGAAGCTGCAAATTCACCGTAGACATTATACTAGGTCTCTAAAATAGAACACATTGGCACTGCATTGTCAACATTAAATCTAGAGAGGGCTCTGCTGAGGATCCATTTCATTGCAGCGAAGATCCGTCTCGTCCTCGTATGGATCTGAGACGAATGAGAACCGTTGAGGAATTCAATTTTCCATGCGATCTGAGATGTTTTGGAATTAAGTTGAAAATTGTGGAATTTTAGATTGTAAGAGAGGTCATCGCACACACCCAAAACTCTACTTTTGTCCGTCTGCACCGGCCGATACGGATCCAAACAAATGGCCGTGTGTTGCATACACTGATTTATGTGACTTGAGGCCTGACTGCCCCGGCAAAGAAGACGAACATCCGACATTTTGTATGTTCCATCAATTGGTCAGTTCGCAAACGATTTCATTCACATCAGACAATTCAATTTGATTTTTATTCCATTCGCTCCCCGCATATCAACTCACCATCAGAGAACCATGAATTCATTTTTGTGTGCAATTCCTCTATGAATTCTGTTCAGTTTGGGTTTTATTTGGTTGAACGGAAATCAAAAGTATTTGTTGCACAAATTTGAAAGTATCAATCCACGACCAAATCAACTTTGCATTTATCAACGATTACTGAGTGAACACATGCAACGTGGTCATACAAAAAGATTGAGAGCTTTCATTAGGGTGGATTTCAATTCGTCGGCACAAAAGCGAATGAAAATTGTTAACGTCTAAACGCAGAACAGCTCATTTTTTGTCTCTACCGAAAAGCAATTTGTTCTATTCAGCCAAAGGAAACCTTTGCTGACTATGACAGATCCGTGTTACCAAATGATGAAAAATCGGATATCATCTGTCGGTATACGCTGAGAAAGATATTCATCACTTGTTTTCTGTTTCAAAATTCTTTTAAATGTTAACCAGAGACTGAACATTATGTGAAAAGTTTGTTGATACTGAAAATCAGAATTAACTTAAGAACTTTTACATCAATTAAGGGAGGGAACGGGCAAAATTTCTTTCAATTTGAGTTCAGCTTTTTATCCAGCTTAGTTCTTCTTTATTCATCTGAAAACCGTCTTCTTGATAAATTCCAATATATTAGCATCAAAATTGCTTCATCCAAAATATTTTAATCTGCTTGCGTTAATGAGAAGAATTTCACAGAACTGGGATTCTGTTTATTTCACCATTGAAATAGGCGTCATATGGAAGTGCATTTGATTGTTAGAAATGGCTGTTAACATGCGTAATGAATTATTGTGATGAATTGAAATATTTTCAGCGAAACGCCGAAATGAACAGTATTCGACATACAGTTACTCAACTGGCTTTGATACGTCTCGAAGAGATCAACAAAAGGAGTCACACCCACTGAGTGATGTGAATCCGATTCGAGTCGGTTTGAAAAGAATTGTTAGAGGATTAGTAGATCAGAGAGTTTTTAAACCAGTCAATACTCGCCATTTCTTTTTCAGTCATTCACCTCATAATTGAATTATTTAATTCATTATTTGTTCGTGAAAGGTGATTCAGTAAGTAGCAATCTGTCATGATTATGATATCGTCTCGCTGATTGTGTCGAAATGAGTAACCGAATGACGAGACATAATCTTCTTCATCATTGCATTTGATAATTTCTTTCATTAGCGATACGTTACTCTATCAATACTTAATTTCTTTTCATTGTATCGCCATTATAATCAACTATAAATTGATCTCATTTCTAACTTATCACTGATTCAGAGAATACGACTGGAATCAGAAGTCGTTTTACTGTTTGTCGCAATGTTGTCGACTCACAAGAGTACAGATTTCAAAAAATTTTGATTACCTGGGCAATGCTGTTCAAAACGGCACATGCTTTTGTTTCAACTGAGAATTACACCGTTAAGCAGGCTCACTGCTAGGTGTTAGAATACAGATTCTAGCATGTTCATCTCTCCAGAAGCTAAACCAGAGTCTGTCTTTATTGAAAACGAATTATTTTATACAATACCATTTCCTAAATTATCATTATCATCTGTTCAGGTATTTTTTGATTACTTTTTAAACTATATTTTGAATTTACTGAAATTGTTCTATTTCGTGGAAGATTTCCTCAGTCCGAACAAATGTGAATGACGTGCATTATTGCTGCTCCTTAACTCGATTCTCAAAACAACCTTTTACCGTTCTCATTCACACCAACTAACTCAAAATGACACTTACGTAAAACATGTCTCTAATGCACGTCAATTTTCCAAAGCTAATCATCTTCTTATGAAGCAAATCCACAAATATTGAAGAACATTTAGTATTTTGTTATGCGACTGAATGTAAACTCTTNGACTGACTGAGAATGATGTTCCGAATAACTAGTGCACAAAAACGAAAAGAGATCAGAAAATTTTATCTTATGAAACAATGCAATGGAATATTCATAGCAAATTGCTCAAACTGAATGCGGTGAGAAGAGTTTACTGAAGTGCTTATGATACTTAATAGTAAGGGTTACATGGGAGTGAAATTATGATTGGTGAATTTGCTAGTTGAAATGCTTAAACTCTCTTGCATGCGGAAATCCGATGTTTGCATGATGAAATGGGATCCTTCAGCTGCTTTCAAGCATTTTCAACGGGAATCCACTAATTTTTCGGTATTATCGTTAAGTGTAAGCTGCATTCGATAAACGAACAATTATCGAAAATATACATGGAAACATCAAATACAGCATTTAATTCTGATTCAAGTTTTTCACGGATGAAGATCAACTGAGAAGGAAATCAGAGAACATTCTGCTGAATACCGTAAACTGTTTCCAGCAGTCGTATACTCTTCTCGTATCTTCTGTCACGTATTTTCGTATAGTCACACCAGCTGCAAGACAAATGAAGAACGAATCAAATGTAATTTTGCAAATTAAAAAAANAAAGCAATGCGAAAGAAGTACAGAGGGCTGGCATTGAATCAAATGGACGCCAGCGAATGCATGGCGCACGTGTAAAACGATTCAACCGACTAGGTGAACATTCTTGAATGTTAATAAATGAAGTGATCAATGACTATTTGATGAAGGCATTAATAACAACCCTTTACAATGAAGTCATCTGCCTCACAATCAATTAAATACAATCATCTTCAGACAACTGAAGCATAATTATAACCTAAAACTTAGTTTATAATGATGCATTCCATAGTTTTTTGCCTGAATCACATAAACAGTCTGTCGCTTTTCATTCGAAAAATTGATCAGTCTATTGCAGAGCTTGAAATCACCCGAATGAATGCTTCATTCAGGAAATAAGACCAGAATGAAATAAGAATTTATTCAAACAAATAAAACAAGAACAAACTTTTTCTTAACAGCCTTCCAATGAGGTAGAAGATCACCAAGGAGAGCATTTGGATTACTGACGTCGAGATCGGGTGAAGGGATCTGAGAGATTGGCGGAGGGATCGGGTCTGCCATAGGTTCATCAAGAGGTGCAGGTAGTGCCATTATGTCTTTGGTTGCTAATAAATCCTGAAATTATGGGAGATGCAAAAAATAATACAGGATGTTCAGTGGAAAATGGAAGCAAAATAATCAAAAACTGTATTTGCAGCTTTTA